GTTATCGGTGGCGGCCACCCGGGGGGGCCCGCGTGGGTCGCTCTGCCGGACTCACCAGAGCGGCTCCCCAAGTTCCACCTGCGGAGCCTCGGCGTGTCCGGCTCTCGGCGGCAGCGACAGCAGCTGCTCTGCTTTCTCCCTAGCAGCAGCAGCAGCAGCAGCACCTGCCCCCCTTCTTCCTAGCAGACCGGGTCCCGGCGAGCCATCTTCCCCCTCTGCTCGCTGACTGACAACCCAGCCCAGAGAGCCGCCACGGCCGCCAGCCACTCTAACAGGCACAAGCAGGAACCCATCCCCAGGCAGCCAACCGCCACCGCCCCACGACAGCCCAGCCAATCGCCGTCCTCTTGGGCGGGCCCAGAGCAACTTCTCCACCAATGGGAGCCACTAACTGCTGCATCTGGGGCGGAGTCGTGAGGGGGGGCTGATTTGGGGAGTGGTATAAGTAGTGGGTGTGGCCAGGGAGCGCCCAGAAGAAGATGATTGACAGTCGTGTTGTGGAAGAAGGAAGACCCGAAGAATAATTGATGCCTTTGAATTATGGTGTTGGCGAAGAGTATTGACTACACCGTGGACTGCCAGAAGAACAAACAAATGCGTCTTAGAAGAAGTGCATTAAGAATGCTCCTTAGATGATGATGGCAACATATGGGCAAATGAGTTTGACACAATTGATGTAGGGATTGTTACAAGAGCTCCAAGAGCCCCCAATAAAATGATTTGTTAATAATAAAAAAGAATGGTCCTTAGAAGTGAGGATGGCAAGACTTCTTCTCCTCTACTTGGACATGTTGTCAGAAGGGATCAGTTTCTGAAGAAGGACATCCTATTTGGCAGAGGGTCAGAGAGAAAGAGGACGACTCTCAATGAGATGGATTTGACTGCAACAATGGGCAGTAATTGTCAGGACGCTGCAGGGCCAGGCATGGGGATCACACTGTGTTGGAGCTGACTCCACCATATCTAACAACAGAATTGTGGAAGCCACTAAGCCTTAGTGGTTCGGTAAAGGTCTTTTAATCTGAGCTGATAGTGCTTTAGGCTGTCAAAGAAGATAATTAACCTCATGCAATAATGTTACTATAACCACAAGAAAAACAAATTATTGTTTTAATTTCTTCGATGGGACTATGTTGTCAGATGCCATAAAGTCCTTATGAATCTTAGCGACTCTATGTACAAGAGAAAGAAACGCGCAAGTCCTGCGGCATCCTCACAAGCTTGCAGCCACTGTGTCAATCCATCTTGTCCAGGGTCTTACTCTTTTTCTTGCTCCTTCCACTTTACCAATCATGACTGGTCTCTGCTGATAATATGTCCAGAGTACATGAGATGAAGTCTCATCCCAGTAATTCCTTTCAAAAGAATTTATCAAATCTTAGGAAGAAACCTATATACATGTTTTTGCCAGTGATGATCAAAACTCACCCAATCTTTCTAGATGGTCTGCTTTTGACCTTAGTCTGGAAACAGCCAAACACAGTTCCCTAAATGTTTTTCCATGGACCCACTTTTCTTTCACCTTTTGTTTTCTTTTCTTCCAAACACACGCTAAATATTTTCTGTTAAGGACTAAGAACCCCAACATATCTGAGCCAGCATTGGCAAATACTCACTCTGTTTTTGACCTTGTAAACATGCTGAACAAATAAATTATAAGGAGAAGATATGTTACTTGCTAACAAAAGGGTATCAAGCAAAGTCAGATAATCACTAGGGCAGATTGATAAAACAAATATTACCATTGCCCTCCAAGGACGTAGCCAGGTATATACGTCATATGAAGTACAGCCAGAAGAACAACAGAGCAAGGTATAATGAACAAATATTGTAGAAAGGACTGTTTAGGAAAGGCAGGGAACTGCCTAAGGAAAATGGTTGAGTTGGATCTTTAAAAGTAGACAGGAAAGGGGGAACCGATGACATGGATCTACATATCACCTCCTCCCTGGGGATGGACAACAGAAAAGTGGGTGAAGGGAGACATCGGACAGGGTAAGATATGACAAAATAATAATAATTTATAAATTATCAAGGGTTCATTAGGGAGGGGGGAGGAGGGAGGAAGGGGAAAATGAGGAGCTGATGCCAAGGGCTCAAGTAGAAAGCAAATGTTTTGAGAATGATGATGGCAACAAATGTACAAATGTGCTTGACACAATGGATGGAGGGAGGGATTGTGAGAAGAGTTGTACAAGCCCCCAATAAAATGATTTTTTTTTAAGTAGACAGGAGTTAGCTAGAGGAGACAGTCCAAAAGCATTTCAGGAAGAAGAAACACGTTCAGAGGCATGCAGGTGCAAAGGTACATCAAGACTGGGAAACACTAAGAACATTGGTGGGGCTGGAAAGTGAGGAGCAGCCCAAACTTGGCTAGAGAAAGAGGTGAGGCTAAGCGCATAAATGACTCTGACACCAGGTGTTGAGACTAGTACCGTCCAACTAACTGTGCTGTCCAACAGAGCTGCAATGGTGGTAGTTTATGTATACAAGGCTGTAGAGAGGGAGGGAGAAACACAAGCTTCTCTACTGCAAGTAATTACAGTCTCTGAAACCCCAGAGGCAGTTCTGCTCTATCCTATAGGGTCGCTCTGAGTCAGAAATGACTCCATGACAGCGAGTTTAGTTTTTGGAAACATTGATCACTGGAGGTGCTGCTCCTCTGCTTACTCATGCATTCAAACAGGATGTGTGGGTTTTATATATGGCGCAGTGGTTAAAGCATCCAGCTGCTAACCAGAAAAGATCAGGGGCTCCAAGGGAGAGAGATGTCGCAGTCTGCTTCTGTATGGCGGTGAGGGTATATAATATAAATGGGTGAGTGTGCTCCAAATCTACGTTATACCTTCTTGTAAAATGCAATTATTAGTGGTTGAACACAAATGTGGTCTATGCCACTTTAGCGGTTGGTTGAGATTAACTGGATAACATTTTTAGTGGGTGCAGAAAACTAAGGTTTTTACTACATACCACATTTTCTACAAAAAGGATATTCCACGACAAAGAAGATGAGTCAATGAGCTTATTTGTTTCAATGATCAATATAAAATTCTGTTGATGTCCCACAATGAAAAATTGCATTTCACCAAATTTCCATTAAGTGGCTCATACTTCAATTGTTACATTTCTTTCATAATGAATATTGTCATTACAAATGAGTAAATGAAAAGGTTTCCAAGGAAAATTTAATGATCAGAAAACAAACATTACAACAAATTACTATTTATTATTTTAGATAGATCCTTTGTCTCTTCACATGTTGTAATTGAAAACACTCCTTTTTGATCTTACAAATTTTTCAATGATTTCATCATAATTGAGCTGCCAAATAGTATCTGCTTCCATACAGATCAGTGAGAATGAATGGAATTTTTCTTGGATCATCTTACCCTAGGGATTTTGAGTCTCTTTAAAGGCAAAAAAATTAGCATTCTATTGTACACTTTGTGATCATTAGAATTAGGAATATGTGTAAGTCAATCTCAACATTGGGAAATATGTATGGTATTTCACCTTCTATGTAGAATCATACATGCCTACATGAGTAAATGTTGTCTTTCCTAAATCTGTAAACTTAATTCCCATGTGAGAATGAAATTGCCCCACTTCTCTAGAAAAGTGTTTATCTGGCATGCACTTCTGATTTGCCTTCACACAGTCCATGCAGTCGTCACCATGTTTAAGAAGGAAAATGTATTTGAAAAAACTTCATACACTTTCACCCTCCTTTTCACGCAAGATTGAAGTGTGTCAATGATTATGTAGTATGTGCTCCTCTCTGGCACACAGTGGTACTTCTGGGGCACCTTCATCATTTACTTGGGTTATTTTCTAATATTTCTGCAGTGGTGAATTGCTTGGCAATTCGTATTTGGCGGTATTTGCTTTGTTGCATTTGAATTTTTTCAAAATTTTGCTTTAAATTATGTAAATGTCCCATTAATATCTGGTAGAGATTTATGTGTGTCTTTAAATTTACTTCTGCATCTTTGAGTGCTTACCTGGTCCGATGAAAATGTTGCAATACATTAGTCTACAAAGCCAACATAAATACCTGCTCTAGGACTTGCATTTGGTTGGCAATGTTTTCAGCTTCTCTTTTGGTATCTCTTTTTTGCGTCTAGTCTTCAGCAATATTTTGTAAAGTATCTAAAAGATGAGTGTATGATTCCAAGATTTCACTCTTCGTTGCAGGATGAGCTTCCCAGCATGTATTATGAAGGCATTTTAATATTTGATTATTGTCTAAACATGTCTAAAGAACGGCACATTAGTGAGCAGAGATTACCAAAAAATGTGTAAACTTTTCACCTTTCCTGATGTTCTACTTGCCTCTATGGGTCTTTGCGTTGGCTGACTGGTGTCCCTGGTTCATTGATGCCCTAACTATGTGTTTAACTTGCTTGTTAGGTAATCCACCCCCTATCTATGTTACCGATATGGTATCCTTTGACTACATGTGCCTGTGGAACACTTGAAAGATGGCAAACGTGCCTGAGGGACTGTATTTTTCATTTGTATTTTAGTAACTACACTATTGGATAGCTCAGGTTCATGCCTTATTCCATAGGCAGTAGGGAACTAATACCAAAACCAAACTCACTATCATCTAGTTGATGCCAACTCATAGCCACCTTCTAGGACAGGGAAGAATTGTCCCGTGAGTTTGAGACTGCAACTCTTTCCGGGAATAGAAAGGCCTGTCTTTCTTCTGTGGAGCAGCTCGTGGTTTCAAACTGCTGATCTTGCAGATTGCAGCACAAATGCCACCAGGCCTCCTTACAAGATCAACAGAAGCTTTTAATCATGGGGCCAACCTGATGAGGTTTCTTTTAAAGAGTGATCATTTGAAAGCTTAGTGTGTTTGTCTGGGTCCTTTAGAGAAACAATTCCACAGAAACTCATTATAAGAGAGAGTTTCATATAAAGGTTAATTGCACATCAAGAAAACATCCCAACCCAGTGCTGCCCAAGCCCACAAGTCCAACATTAACCCATATATCCGACACCAATACACAAAGTCCTCCTCCATCTCACAAAACACACACTATGACGCCGACTGCAGGAGGAAAGCCGAATCAGTGAGCATGTAAACATCTAAGTGCTGGCAGGGGTCTCCACATGGCTGCTCCAGCACCCAAGGCTGCATCAAGGTAGGTCCATGAGGCTTCTCCTCAGGGATATCTTGCAGGA